CTGGCAATGGCCAAGGACAAGTGATGCACATGGTCACAATGCTGATTGGACGATGGTATATCTGGCGATTTTATACTTCGACCCACACACGGGTTACACGAGTGACGCGCTGATGACTATTGATCTGGTGAATTTGGTATAGTTAGTATGGATTTGGGATGATCATTTGAATTCCGGTGAGCGGTTAATGAGAACTTCCGCGGAGCAGTGGTTCACAGAGAAAAAAAAAGTAGTGGAGACGGAAATTAAGAAAAAAATCGGAGAAAAAAGTCTTATTCTCAGTAATTTTCGATTGAAATCTATAATTGTAGATTTGATTGAAATTGTACCGAAATTAAGATATATTTTCTCTCACTAGATCAGCCCGCACGCTCTGCGCGCGTATGTTCTTTTGCATGGGGCTTAATGTATGTCAATTGTAATAAATAGTGTTATATTAGATTTCTGAAGCTAATATCAAGGTTTCCGAAGGAAAAATTTCAGGAATGTACTGTATTTTTTTATGCATATAATACGTCAAGGGTAACGTTTTTTGAAGCCAATCTATTTGGCGTATTGTCATTAGATTTTTTATAAATGATGATAGCATAAATTAAAGATATTACGATAGTGCTACATTATATTATACAATATATAATAGAGTACTATATATATTATAAAATATAATGTACATAATAAAAAAATTGAATAATAAACTGATAATAATAATAACATACATTGCGTAATTTTTTGTTAATTTTTTTATTATGTACATTATATTTTATAATATATATAGTACTCAACGATATTGTTATATATTACATATACCAATATATATGCATAATATATTATATATAATACATTATATAATGTATTATAATATAGCATCGTATAGAATATAATATAATATAGTGTTATCGTAATATCTGTAGTGTATACTGTCATTTGCAAAAAATTTAACGACACAATACGCCGAATAGATTGGCTTCAAAAAACGTTACACTGGTTTTTTTATTGAAGGATTATCAATTGAAGGAATTTTTTTGTTATCGTTATTTTACATCACTTCAACCCGGTTAGAGTATGCTGCAATAGTGATCAAAACTTTAAATGGTTAGATCTCACCATTCTACCCGGCCAGATTTTGAACTCGGAACCTTTCGCATAATTGAAGGAAATGTTGGGTCTGAAATTCAGAACTTTGGGATTCTCAAATTGAGAACATTGTCGTTCAATGATGATTCAATTAATGATTTTTGTTGTTTTAAAATTGATGTGTATACTTTTTACTTCAATGTATATCACCTGATAACTGGATTCAATGGTGAATCAATGTTCAATTGTTCCAGAATTTTATCCCTCTCGAATGTTCTTAGTTTGAGAACGCAAAGGTTCTTGAATTAAGAACGTGTTTCACTTGATATAAGTAGATTCTTGGTACTGCATTTTAGGGATTTTTCTTTTAAAATCCAGTAACCAGTTTCGTATTCTTGGTGCATTAGCCTTCTAGCACTATGAGTTTCTTGAAATCAGTAACTTTCTTAAAATCTGAAACCAGGGGAATGTTCGCCAGCGGAAAATTCAACTTAGAAGATTTTTGAGGGTGTGAGAGTCAAATAATCACACTTACGCATGTTTCTAAGGCGAAAGAGTTTGTACATGATTTAAAAATATTTACACACCCTTAGATTTGTCTAAATCGAATCTTCCGCTATGGTGAATCTTTCACGGAAAAATGTATTATTCTTGATTCGAGTATATAATATACTTGATTCAAGTATATTTTATACTCGAATGGGGGGTGGGTGCTTCAATTCGAGGATGATTATTTCGTATCAGTCCGGGTTGTACCAAGCGCTCTCAATATAAGGGTACAGACGCTAGATGTGAAAACATAAAGTTCAAAAAGTGGAGGTTAAAAAGTGAGGGTCAGAATATTGAGATAAAAAAATTAGGGTCAGAAGATAAAAGAAAAAAAAGTGGGTGTCAAGCAATGAGGTCATATAAGTCATATAAGGGCAAAAGCGGTGATCATGCTTAATATATGATTTATATTTAGACTCTCATTGCCTCACCTATTTTTTTTACTTTTATATTCTGACGCAAATTTTTTAATTTCCACTTTTTGACCCTTATATTCTAACACTTAGTGCCTGACCCTTATATTACACTTGACAGGGGTTGCTACAACCCGGCCTAATACAAGCCAATCATCTTCGAATTGATCTACTCATCCTAAAATTGAATATAAAATATACTTGATTCAAGTATATTTTTTTCCGTGTTTGTTAGTTTCATCTTCATAAACTAGAAACTTTTTTTATGTCATTAGGCCCGATAAACTCGCTTCGCTCGGTTAGATCGCGGTTTTCGGGCCCGATGACATAAAATATCGTATGTCACACGGCGATAAAAGTATTATCTGGGAAATATGATTATAAAGCCACATTCGCCAGATAATGCTTTTATCGCCTGATAATATAATATACTATTCTCTGGGTATGTGATTGGGAGTGGGTGATTGATATTTGCTGATACATTTGTTTAGGGGCAATTTGGAAGAGATGGGTTGGTAATAGGGAGCAAGAACTAATTGGGTAATTAATATTCAAGGATTTGAACACGTATTTGTGGAATGTCGGTGAACGGCGGACGTCGAGGTTTGTGTAGATGGCGCATGTCCGTGGAATTTTTTCATTACGATTCTGGGCATGATTACTGGATCATTAGTATGAGGATAAAAGCCTTGATTGTTTGAATGATGTATGTAATATAGTTGTGAAGCGCAAAATATGAATCGAATTTTTCACAGTTCATCTGAAAAATATTTGAAAATAATGGGTTTTAGAGAGAATTTGAAGGGATCTTCTTTGTAGGAGGTAAAATTGTGCAAAGACGATATCTTAATGGATTTTGCTGACTTTTCTTTTTTAAGAAGATGCTCGACTGTATATTTATCGCTTGCGGTTGATCGGTGGAGGTTAATGATGTTATAATGTTATGGCTCATGCTAGTGCAATTTTTTTATATGATTGAGGCCATGATTGATGACTGATGTGTGTATTTATAGTTCCCTTTTGAGCTAAATGGAAATTCTGATCGCGTAAATGATTTAGGTAGCAAAAAGATCAAGAATGGTGGTGAATTCGAAAGAGTTGTGCATAGATTCTTGTGGGAATATCATTGGAACACTGTTAAACAACAATGAAAATTTCATGGACAGCAATAGGAGACTGATATTGAATTCGATTTAGGTGAGGGAAATAGGAAATTGCTCTTGTATCGTATACAGTATAGTTATTTTTACAAATAAATTTGCAATATTCTTCTGAATGGTTATTTTGCACATCATTTCCTTCTATCATGTAAAATTCATTGTTCATTTCATTTTATTAAATTAAACAACATTTCCTTTTACCTAATTTTGTTAGATTTTCAACTTAGTTGAATGTTTTCAGCATCATTATCATTATTCTTATTATCCCTTTTCTTCTCTATGACCGATTGTCCTTGTCACAATTTAAAAAAATTTAATTTCCACATACTTGAATGAATTTGAAATATCACATTTGAAGAAACCATCAGAAAGCTCACTTTCAGGGAAATTCGGAGGGAAATTGTCGTTTTTCAGGTCCCTCGACACGAAAATTAATGTACACACCTCGCTATGGAAAACATATCACCCTCCCCCACGTGTTTGTCATTCTCGCCTTTGGCTCGGAAGGCTATCTTGCACGTGGGGGACGGTGATCTGTTTTCCAAGTTGAAGATCCATCGCCTTACCGACTAAGCCAACCCGAGCCTCTAACTGGACGCTAACGGAGTTAATATTATCATGAGCAGCTGAGAGCATTTGGTATGGTTTTATGGATTTTTCAACTAAAGAAAATGTTAACGCTTTCATTCTCTTGTTTCATATGTATCAAATTATTTAGTTTGTGATTGCTTGCCTCAAATGGTTGATGATATTGGAGGAAAATGAAAATTGAAACTCAGAATAATAAGAATACAGAATAATTGTTATGAATGATTAAAAATTATTTTGGAACGTGGCGCATGAATCAACATCATCGGATACCAATTTAATTGATATCGGAAATTTTCAGATTGTTGCGTTGATTCTATCGTGCAAAATCAGTGAATTCGAAATTTGATTTGTTAACTATTTACAATTGAATTAAAACAAGAAAAAAAAATTCTCTCACTTCAATTAATTCTAACACTCATAAACTTTATCATTTTTAACATGAAACTCGAATATTCGAATTGTTAATTACGTTCAAGCACTCAGTTTCTTTTTTTCCTGTGTATTTCCTATGGAAAATAAACTTACTCATTGCCTATTCCCTTAGAATAGGCCGACATGCTCCGGCTTCATTCCTGACATTTCTGACCGATAATACTACAATCTGAAGGGGTCGCCAATAACATTGGTCTCCCTGCCGGACACCGTAACATACATACACGGAGATGAAAAATTCTCGGAATTTGAGTTAAGAATTGCAAACAAGTTTTCACCAGTGGAAACATCAAGCAAAGCATCTGGATACTTTTTCTGCACCGACCAACATTTTGCGCAGCAAAGACTTCTTGATAAGTTTAGATGTACCTTTCCTCTTGGAAACGGTGAATAATTTGTAAAAACGTTTCGCTTCATAAGTTCTCCACCGATTCAACGATATCATTCATGATAAATGATGATTAATCGTTCTCGTAGGTGGACAAGTTTAAATACAACCCAAAAACGACCTTTAATTTTTTAAAATTCACCATGACCTTCCACAAATCAGTCGTAAGCCAATCGATCCTGAAAAACCTCGGAACCCTTGCGTGTATTGCTAATGATGCCCCACATGATACATCTTCATCAATATATAAGAGAATTCATGAATAAATTAGCAAGAAATTCCGATTGCGACCCCTCGTTAAACCATCTATAGATACAGATGTAGTATCATCGATAAGGTAATTATGGCTTTCGATGCACTGAAAATTTTACACTGATAATAAATGCAACAAACCTGGTGCCTCTGATTCCAATGTTTCCGACTCCTGTAATTCGATATGTTCTCTTGTTCTTCTTCTCCCCCGGCCGATGGAACCAATCCTAATACCAATGTTATCAACATTGTCGATGTTACTAAGGTCGATCGGGCTACCGACTATGTAGGGACCATTGTCCTGGGTATCGGCAGACCCGTTCGGGGTTGCGTTATGATTGTTGGAATGATTTGGTGTAGGGGTACCATCCATATGAGGTATCGATGATAAATCGGGGGGTGTGAATGGCCGAAGTGCTACGGGGCTCGGTGCCCGAGGATTCCCCCGACGCGTCGACGGCTTCATCGATGGGGCCGGAACCTGTAATATCGATAGTTTTATTAAAATGTGCACTGATACAGAGACTAATTCATTTTTAACGAGGGTCGTTAACTTTTATCAAAAGGTACATTTAACGATAACGAACGCAGACAAAACAACATTTTAGTTACACTTAACCTTTACACCGAACTCCCGGTCTGTGGACCGCTATTAAAACTTTCAGAGTGTATAACTATTGATAAATGTAAGGAACAAATTTCAAACTTCCAGTAGCTCCAACCGATGCAAAACGTTGATTTTTTCTCGCCCCGATAAATTCATGAAACCACTAATGTTTCTTCTAATTTATGCCTTGAGGGAATTGATCAAAAATAATAATTGGTACCAATTATTCATAATGAATGCCATATCTTTGTTAGTTTGATATTCGAGAATTAACAAGCGAGATTAATATGAAAACATGTCCATAACAAACATTTATGGGTGAAGAAAAAAATGAAATATACGTTTTGCCTCTTCTGTTCGACTCTTTCCCATCAGACCCTCATTTGAACCTTCAGTTACAAAAAGTATTGATTCATTCGCTCAAAAAAACGGGAACTTCGATCGAGACGAAGTAGTGGTCTGACAGACTGCGGGGTACGGTATTGTATGGGGATTCTCAATTTAGGGATTTTAATGGAAAGGTGGCGGGTAAGTTGCCCGTGGAGTGCTGAAGCACTCTGCTCGCTGGAAGCGGGAATGTTCGAAATAATGTTGACGACTCACAATTCTTTAACTTCAAAAACTCTGTACTTTCAATCAAAATATTATTTAGACTTCAAGATATTATTACAATTTGAGGAACTGTTTCCTCTTTGAACGATGAGACAGGAGTGTTCTTACTTCTCCTAAATTCTAATAATTGTACAGCAATATTGGCCTTTCAGGAATTTTCGCCAAAGCTCTCACGTACAATAATTTCCATGGCCGTCGGACATGGCCATCGGACATGGCCGACGGCCATGGCGTGGCCATAGGTATTTTGGAATTCGTGGCCGTTTTCCATGGCCGTTGGCCACCAAATAAATAAATAAATAAATGAATAATAGAATTTTGTTCATTACTCGAAAAATGAACAATTTTCCCACATTGACGGAAATTATGTTTTTTTCTCTATATGCTTCGGTATAATTGAGGAATAGGGGGTTAAATTCAGAAGATGTTCTGTAATAAAATAAATGAATAAATAAATTAATAATTGAAAGATGAATAATTTTTCAACATTGAGGTAAATTATGACTTCGCTGTATATAAAATATACGAGTCATGTAATGGTTATATGCGATGCATGTGAAGTTCGAAGGGAGGTCAAATTGCTATTATACGGAGGTCAGATAGGGATTATGTGAAGGGTATATGAGGGTTATGTGTTGTTGGTATGGAGGACACATAGGTTGTGTGAAGGTCATGTAGGTCATAGCCAGGTTATATGGAAATTATATGAATGTCAGATGCAGGCTTTATGAAGGTGACGTGAAGATCATAAGGAGGTTCCGTGAGGGTTATGTGAAGGTCGTATGAAGATTGTACAAAGCTCATGTGAAGGTTATATCGGTCATATGCAGGTTATATGCGAGTTATGGAGAGGTTACATGCAGGCTTTATGACGATCATAAGGAGGTAGGATGAAGTTCATGTGAAGGTCATATGAGGGATCTCCCTCATATGACCTTCACATGAACTTCATCCCACCTCCTTATGACCTTCATAAAGCTTGCATATGACCTCCACATAACTCCCATATAACCTGCATATGACCTACATAACCTTCACATGAGCTTTGACGGATCTTCATACGACCTTCACATAACCCTCACGTAACCGTATGAAGGTCATAGGAAGGTCATGGAAAAGTTATATGGGGTATTTAAGGGTCATGAGAAGGTCAGATGGAGGTTACGTGCAGGTCGTATGAAAATTGTACAATGCTCATGTAAAAGTTATGTAGGTCATATGCTTGTCATATGGAAGCTATGTGGAGGTCATATGCAGGTTATATGCAGGTTATATGGGAGTTATGTGGAGGTCATATGAGGGTTATGGGGAGGTCGTATGAAGATTGTTCAAAGCTCTTGTAGAGGTCATGCAGGTCATATGGGAATTATATGGAGGTCAGATGCAAGCTCTATGAAGGTCACGGAGAGGTCATAAGCAGGTTACGTAAGGGTTATGTGAAAGTCGTATGAAGATTGTACAAAGCTCATGTGAAGGTTATGTACGTCATGGGGAGGTTACATCCAGGCTTTATGGAGGTCATAATGAGGTGGGATGAAGGTCATATGAGGGCTTTATGAAGGTCATGGAAAGGTTACGGGCAAGTCATGGAGGTTATGTGAGGGTCACGTGAAGTTCATATAGAGGTTACGTGCAGGTCGTATGAAGATTGTACAATGCTCATGTGAAAGTTATGTAGGTCATATGCAGGTTATATGGAAGTTATACGTAGGTCATATGCAAGCTTTATGAAGGTCATATGCAGGAGCTCTACAAGAGCTTTGTACAACCTTCATACGACCTTCACATAACCCTCACGTGACCTCCATATGACTCTCACCTAACCTCCATATAACTTTTATACGACCTGCATATATCTTCTATATAATGTCAATGATGCTTTACCTTCACATGCGCCTTGTATGCCTTTCATTTGACCTCACATAGCCTTCTCATGACCCTTAAATACCCCATATAACTTTTCTGTGACCTTCCTATGACCTTCATAGATCCCTCATATGACCTTCACATGAACTTCATCCTACCTCCTTATGATCGTCATAAAGCCTGCATGTAACCTCCCCATAACTCCCATATAACCTGCATATGACCAAATAACCTTCACATGAGCTTTGTACAATCTTCATACGACCTTCACATAACCCTCACGCAACTTCCTTATGACCTTCACGTCACCTTCATAAAGCCTGCATCTGACATTCATATAATTTCCATATAACCTGGCTATGACCTACATGACCTTCACACAACCTATGTGTCCTCCATACCAACAACACATAACCCTCATATACCCTTCACATAATCCCCATCTGACCTCCGTATAATAGCAATTTGACCTCCCTTCGAACTTCACATGCATCGCATATAACCATTACATGACACGTATATTTTATATAGAGCGAAGTCATAATTTACCTCAATGTTGAAAAATGATTCATCTTTCAATTATTAATTTATTTATTCATTTATTTTATTACAGAACATCCCCTGAATTTAACCCCCTATTCCTCAATTATACCGAAGCATATAGAGAAAAAAACATAATTTCCGTCAATGTGGGAAAATTGTTCATTTTTCGAGTAATGAACAAAATTCTATTATTCATTTATTTATTTATTTATTTATTTGGTGGCCAACGGCCATGAAAAACGGCCACGAATTCCAAAATACTTATGGCCACGCCATGGCCGTCGGCCATGTCCGATGGCCATGTCCAACGGCCATGGAAATTATTGTACGTGCTAGTAAAAAATGCAATAACTCTAATAAGAATTATAACGTTTTTGTGAAATTTTTACCTGACACATTGTAATCTTTACTAGAGTTATTGCACTGCAGTTTTCACAAGAATGCTTTATAATGTCTAGTATTGAGAGGTAAATTTTAATAGAAATTCCTCTCCGTGCACTATTGAACGAATCGGGAGCACATACCAATGAAAGAGTGAAGCTTTGAAATAGAAACGAAAATGTTGCGAAAAATGTCAGACTTGAAGGATTTGCATCATGAATTCATCTAAAGACTTTCCGAAAGTTGGAGAGAACTATTTATGAAATAATCCCATAGTGATTGGAATTTATCAGAGGCTCTCATGGAAAGTGGTGGTTCTGGCATTAAAAAAAAAACATGAAGCTTTTATTTCTCTATTTTCTTTGAGTACGATTCAAGCACAGTGTATTTAGAGCTTTCTTTTAAAGTTATTTTAAAGTTGTTACTAGCAAATTAAAGGGATATGTAAATTAAAGCTTTAACGAAAGTGACCTCGCAGGGCCATCCTTAAGGTGAAACGGATCAAGGGGCTGGTTACTTAGGAAATCACTGGACCACACGATTGGAAATCAAGGAAGAAATCACCAGAAATCACTGGAAATCAAGGAATTTCCATTTCTGGTCGTGATTTCTAATGACTATTGGAAATCATCGGAAATCAGTACAAATCATAAAGAAATCAGGTGATTTAAAAAATAATTAGAAATCATCGAGGAAAGTGGAACCCAAATTTTTTATTCGGGCTGACTCATACGATTCCGTTTGACTCTCATGACCTTCTTATGCACATGTCATTTAATTCTTACTATCACATCCATAAGGCCCTTCTAAACTCTTTGGTTCCCCGAATCTTACCCATATGCGATTATCGGCAGGTGTCCCACTTTAGCTCCGAAATCATGATTGTTTAAGTGATTTCTTGAAATCATGAAATCATCAGAATCTACTAAAAATCATGAAAAATAAAAAAAAATCATGATTTCTAATTCTTATTAGGAAATCAAAGAAATCATTCAAGAAATTACAGGAAGCCGGGGATGCGGCAGAGGACTCATCAAATCAATGCAACGTTCCTTACACGGATTTCCGGAATAGCTTTAAAACCGATCAGCATAATCACACAACAAATAAAATACTAGCACAATCGAAAACTGACGTGAAAAAAAAAGGAGTACAGTATTTTGAACTCTACTTCAAGGAGTCGGCAAAACCCTGGTACGAAAACTGCAAAATTTCGAGAGAGGCTATCGTTACTGTTAACTGCGTTAGAGAAAACCATTACCACCTCGCCGCCTCCTTGAAAAGGATTGGTATAGCTGATGACGCAAGTTGCTCATGTGGAGCAGAAAACCAAGACTTCGAGCACGTATTATGGCAATGCCCAAAATTTAAACGTCAGAGAATCAAATTGTTAGGCAGACTGAAAAAATCTAGTTGCTCTCCTCCATATACCACAAAAAAATTCTTAGATGGAGCACAAATATATCGCAGAA